CCTGCTGTTCGTCACCGTGGTTACTAACGAGGGTTACGTTAAGATAACCTGCTGTTCGTCACCGTGGTTACTAACAATTGTTGAACGGTGCTGTTCCTGAGTCCTGATCTGTTGATTACTGATGTTTCACCATCAGACAAAGTCTGGATTCTTCCTTGATTTGTCAAACAGGCGAAACAGTTTCATCACTCAGTTTTTCATGGTTTCTTGCAGGAGAGACTTTGGAGATGGAGGAGCGAGTCAGTGAGCGGCAGCAGGAAGTTCTGGCTGAGTTCGAACGACGCCGACGGGCGCGGCAGATCACCGTGTCTACCGATGACGCTGAAGTGAAGGCCGGCCTCCGAGCGTTGGGAGAACCAATCACCTTGTTTGGAGAGGGACCAGCTGACCGCCGTGAGAGGTGGGAGAGGTTATTCTTTTGTTTGGACTGTTCTGGGATCAGCTCATCAGAAAGTGTCTCTTTACTAAGATGACGGGACGGAACCAAAACTCCGTGTTTTTTCAGCCCGGCGACACGTAAATAATTTTGATTAGATTGAAAGAATTTAAATCACTTACGCTCTTTAACTGTACTGGAGCAGTGGCTTGATGAACGTGGACACAGTGTATGCTGCATTGGTTAGATTTAGTGAAAAATTAGTTATCTTTTCCTCTCTTGCCTCTTGCAGTCTGCTTCTCCTGTGCTGTCAGACTCAGCATGAAGGAAAGGGGCTGCTAACAACAGGATTTCAGTGCCGATGTGACCTGCATGCGCAGAAAAAGAYGTGAAGTCACATTCAATATACAAAATAAACATGGATGCTACATGTTAGCATGTTGATTCTGATGATGTTGAGCAATCAAAGCAGATTAAATAATTATCTGACATGATTGTTTAGTTCAGTGTTAAACGTGCTAAACTGAGGTATCAATCGAGTAACTTTAGCATCGATATGGTCTGCAACCCTCTGATGTTTCTGTCGAATGGTTCTGTGGATTTTCAGTAGGGGTGTCCCGATCCAGTATTGATATCAAATATCGGTCCGATATCAGCCAAAAAACGAGTATCAGATTTTATCAGTCTGCATAAAAAAATCTCCAATGCAAGCGGTCCGTTCCAGCAGTCCACTGACTCTGCTCCAGTGTTTCTATCCAGCAGAACTTGGATCCAGCATGCAGAGTCACGTAATCACAAYAACGTGCTGCGCTAACAAAGTAGCTAGCAGTAGGAGCGATGTCGGCACTACTTTCTATTTTCATCAACAACAGAACTGAAGCTAAGTGCTAAGTTGTCACACACAAATTTTCTGTGGGGGAACAGAACCATGAACGTTTTAAACCAGAGAGACAACCAAGCTCTACTCTCCACCCACGCACCTGTATCTAACCGGCTCGGTTCGGCTCGGTCCAGTGTGTCTCCATGGTTCCAACCGTGCTGTTCAGAACCTCCTCTCCGGTCCGGTCGGTGGTTACAGTTTTGACATCAGCAGAATGCTGCTCGTGGGTTAGCTCTGGGATTGACTGACAGAAGAAAGGAGAGTGCAGCTTTTGTTTTGGAATATGAGTGTGAGATGGAGAGAGCAGTGATAATCTGCTCCCTGCAGGAGAGAGAGGCTRATCTCCACATGATGCTCAGACTGTAGAAAGTGGAAATTTAGCACTAAGAAAGGTAGCTATCAATTTAAATAACTAATTCTTACTATTTATTTTTTTGCTCTTGTTGTTAGAGTGATGTTTAATCTGTTTACACACTTGTTTGAGTGAAGATTAAGTGCAATGATCACGTTGTTTTAGTTACAGTCAATGAAATTGGAGCTGTGGACTCTTAACTTTGAACAGACAATAATGTGGGCTTTTGTTTTGTCCCACCTTCAGTTTTTCCCACAGTAAAGCAGCACCAGGCTGACAGATGGTAAAAAAAAATAACCAGAGTGATTTTGAATAGTTATTTTACACTTTAAATGTACAGTTTGTTTTTATGTTTTATTTTTCAGGGTCTTCTAATCTATTTTATTTATTAAATTATAGGATGTTTTTCAGTTTAAAATGTATGTGATCCATTGATTGAAAATAAATGGGTCTGATCAGAGAGTCGAGGTGGACTCAGGTTTTTGGTTCAGTTCTCAGCCCTAAAGGCAGATGGAGGATCCTGTAGCCACCTGTTGAAAAGCAGGTTGGTGACCTCCAGTGGAGGAYTGTACATGGATCACTAGCTATGAACAGACACACAGCTCACTTTGACCCAGCTGTTCGGGAGGAATGTTGTTTTTGTGGACATCACGAGTCACTGGAACATTTGTTTTTGTCCTGTTCAAGGTTGAAAAGTTTGTTCAGGATTTTGCGGGAGTGGGTAGAAGCGCTGGGTTAATTCTCAACAGCTGTTTTTGTTTTTGGTCTTAAATATACAGCTAGTAAAAGTAAAATTAGTTTTAATTAATTTCCTTTTTGGAATGGCAAAGTTAGCAATTTGGAAAACGAGGAAGAATAAAATATCTGAACAGGATTGGACAAATGTAGTGCTTAGTTTTAAGGGGTTGGTTGCATCAAGACTAAAAGTGGAGCATGTATATGACAGGCTCATTTTGCTCTTCTTAGAATGATTTTTCTCTCTTTTTGTGTGTATTTTGTTTAGTTTTTTCTGTGAGTTGTTTAATATTTGAAGTATCTTTATTTCTTTGTCTTTGAAATGTGAAAAATTGTATTGTTTTGGAATTTTTACATGAATAAACATGTTCAAGGTCTTTCTTTTTTCTGTCTGTCTTGTTCTCATATGTTTTGTAACCTTTTTCTGTTTGTGAAATATTTTACTTGTTTTATTTTACTGTATTTTTTATTCTGTTGTACAGCACTTTGGTTGCATTTGGCTTTGTAAAGTGCTATATAAAAAAGTTTTGATTAATTGATTGATGGGTTAATTGTCAGGTTAAAAAATGACACAAACATACAGAATGGGTATGTATTTGATTTAGTACCACATGCTGAAAAGACCAGGGGTCGGATTTATAAAACTGGCGTACGCACAATTTGAGCCCAGAAACTTGCGTACGCCACTTTTTACGCCAAGGTTGTGATTTATATAATCCAAACTTGACGTGAAAATGTGCGGTGCCTCACAGCTCTGACCCTCACAGCTCTGACCCTCACAGCTCTGACCCTCACAGCTCTGACCCTCACAGCTCT